CACCACCACCACCACCTTTCCTTCATTCCCTGTGTCTTCTGCTGGACTGTTTCTCCTGAACTTCTTGTGTGCCATGTTCCTTGCAGAATATTCCATCCCTTTATTTCTGTGTTCTTCCAAGCAAAGGAACATTTTGGACCATACCAGCACCAAGCTGTAGGCTAAATGGCTGTATTCACACAACATAACCAAATCATATATACAACATGCTAAGCTTGGTTGGATTTAATTCTGTTTACATGTTGGGGGGCCAAGATTAGCTGCGTTAGTTTGTGGTTCATCGTGGCAGTCCTAAAGGGACAGAGATCTGTATCTGGTTGAAATCCTGTTTCCCATGGAAATCCCACCAGCAAAGTGCAGAAGCAACAGACAGACCTCCAGCAGCTACTAGCTGGTATCCAGTGGCCCTCAAGCCTCAAAATTATCATGACAAGCAGTTAGTTCAACTCTCCTTAGCCATGAACTCACTAGGTAGCTATGATCATCTGCCCAAACATGAAGACTGATTTAGTCTTTGAGTCAGTCTTGACTCCTGATAACTACGTGGAAAAGTCCATGCAGTTTTGGAGGCAACATTTTTCGGAAGTAGTTTGCCCTTGCCTTCTTCTTCCCAGGGCTGAGAGAGAGGGATTGGCCCTAAGTTCCTCAGTGGCTTTTGGCAGGGCTACAACTCAGGCCACCCTGCTCCAATGCCTTAACTACTAGGTGAAATTGGCTCTCTATGAGGATATTACTGTTTAATGGGTTGTTGTGACAGCACAATATTGGGCACTATTTACACTCTTCTCTCTCTTTTTAACTATAATTAGTTAGTACACACATAATGTATTTAAAGATGAGGCAGATGGAACTACAGTTGGACTACAAGTAGAATAACTCTTTGGGGCAGATCAGACCAAGTATCAGATTTAATGTTGGGGCAAGTCACAGGGTGTAATTTCAGCAGTTGCTAGTTTGGTTATTTTGGAATCTTTTTGGTTTGTAGTTCTCAAGAACACTGACAGGATTCTGCCTGCTTATTCAGTCTTTGCTCCTTCTAGCTGATTAAGACCACAGTGGCTTCCTAAAGCACCAAAGTGATCAAGGCTTCTTTGCAGGAAGGAAAACTACTGGACTTCTACTGAAGAAACCCTCCACTGACTTGGCAGAACACTGGGTGCAATTATATGTGCAGCCTAAAACATTCAATAACTGGGAAATGTGATTAAGAAAGTGGCAGCTTTGCCCCTCCAGCTATATTTGGAAGACCATTATTATCTGGACCCATTTCAATCAGGCTTTCAGCAGAATATGGTACTGAGGGTGCGCTGGTTGTCTTGATGGATGACTTAGGTTGAAAATTGGATGGTGAAAGTGCAGCTCTGTCAGTTCTCCTACACTACAGTGCCTTTCAGCTTCATCAACCTTTTGGACTATCTCACAGGATTGGCCTTGGGAGCCCTGTTTTGCTGTGACTCTGGTCCCTCCTGGCAGATGCTGAATAGGAAGTGACGCTGAGGGACTAGAGTATAGCCAGCCATATTTGGTGAGAGATACCCATGGGTGTTTTGGTGGCAATCTTCCTGGATGACTGCAGGTACAGCTACCCTTGGAGACGCAATTGGTGTTAAGAGCTGAACTGCTAACCTGTGTAAGACAAAACTTACAAGAAGCTTGCTGGATCAGGTCACAGACCCATCTAGACCAGAATTTTGTGCCACACAGATGCCAACTGGATGTGGTTGGAAAGTGTTCAAGTCTGGATTGGAAAACAAGATCTCACTCCCCTGTCATCTTCCAGCAATCAATATTTAATTTATGCTGCCAGTGATTCAGGAGGCAGTAAACAACCATCCGTGTTCATAGCCACTGGTAGCCTGATCCTCCATGAATCTCCAGCCCCTCTTTTAAACCATCCAGACTGGCTCCCATCCCCACAATTGCTGGCAGCTAATTTCATAGTTTCACTATGTGCTATGTGCAAAAGTATTTCCTTCTCTAGGTTGTGAATTTCTCTGCATTCAATTTCAATGGGTGACCTTGAGTTCTAACACTGTGAAAAAGGGAGAAAAAACGACCTTTTTCTCTGTCCACATTATTGATGCCATGCATGATTTTAAATACCTCTACCTTGTCTCTCCTGACTCCCCTTTGTTCCCAGTTTAAAAGCTCCAACTGCTATTCCTTTCCTTGCAGGGGATCTGCTCCAGCTCTCTAATCATTTTGGTTGTCCTTTTTTGCATGTTTTCCAATCTTATAACATCCTTCTCAAGGTGCAGGGCCAGAACTGTATCAAACCCCAAGAGCTGTCTCTCCCTACACTTGTATAAGGCCATTATTATACTGGTTCAAATTCCCTATAGGATTTTGAACCAGTATAATAATAGTCCTGATAGGATAGGATAACAACTTCATCGTCATTCCACTATACACTGCACACCAAGTGCATAATAAAATGAAATTCCATTGCAATTGGCTTACAATCAAAAAATGATTCCCAGCATGGAATTTCCCTTCCTTACAGCAGCTGTGCACTGGGTTCAGTTTCATCAATTGATCCACCATGGCCAAAATCCCTTTCTTGATTAACCAGATCCCATTAATGTATATCTGAACTTCTGCGTGTGTGCCCACACACCTCAGTATGCATTTGTTTACGCTAAGCCTGTTCACAATCCCTTCTGAACAGTTTAGCATCATCAGCAACTATGGATAACACACAGCTCCACCTTAGCTTTAGATCATCACACACAAGTTAAAGAGCAGTGGGCCCACCCACAATCACACAATGCCTGTTCTGAAAGAATCTGTACTGTTGTCACTTGCTCATGGGTCACTCTTTTCACTGTTGGTGTTAACTTCAAAGCTCTATATGGCTTAAGACATCACTATTCCAGGTCTAGGAGTAACTGTCCCAGCAAGGGCCTGCACAAGAGGTCCTTTAAGGATGCCGCCATTGTCAGAGTCTCCCCCAGGAATTACGTATTTGTCTGTTCTGTGCTCAGAAAATCCTCAAAGATGCATCTCTACTGCCAAGGTTTTAACTGTTCATCAATATTAAATATTAATTGTATTTTATCCTTCTGAATTTTTTAAAATGTTAGCTATGTTGAATACTTATTACTCAGTTAAATTAATTTTATCAAAGGCACTTTTCCCCACTCTTCTAT